AAAACAAGGTGTTGCTGTGCGGATGATTAGTAAATATGTTAAGGGCGAAATAAGTATGGCTTCATTTAAGTTATATTTCCTTTATTGTTTTTAAGTGCAGTGCAAATATATAAGCATATAGGGGTCAGGAGGCCAATAATAAATTGAAAACAATTCTTGCCCCTACAATGTGCATATTGGTGCGGCCCATTGTAACAGGGATGTCATACTCATGCTTGTGCATTTTGTTACTGTTAGTGTCACCATATAAAATTCATTAAACAAAATAAACTTTATGTATAAGCACGTTATTTCAGGCAGTTTTTTTATTAGAGGAATGTTAAGGACCCACGCATATGGGAACTGAAATGAAAACTTAGAGTTTGACATTCCTGCTTTACACTTTTGTCCCTTAAGCCTTCAGGGGCGCTTCGTTTGTAGCGTACAAATCTGACCATATTTGAATATCGATATGTGGAAGGTAATTTGGCCATGCCTTTGTTAGAGATTATTATTGATTGATAAAACTATTGCCGTCAACTTCACTGATGTGGGATAAGACTTTATTACTTAGTTTGAGTAACAGTCCAACGAGTGGCTTATGTTAGGGCCAATCTGGGGGCCACCCATCTCTCAGCTAAGAAGAACTGAACTGAATGAGGGAATCTGATTCTTTCCCTACCACTAGTTAGCGGTTCATCTAGTACTGAATTCAACCGTTTGATTTTCCTTTACACATTCCACCCACATATCTCTGAGTTGAGTTTCTAACCCTTTGTACACTATTAAACAGTCTTGGGTCATGTCGTTGATTCCCCTGTGGGGTGCAGTGGTAGCGTTCTCGTCTAGCAATCTTCCTGACCCGCTATTAAATCCCTTGTTGCCAGTGGATGGTAACCGGGCGTTCGTTACACATCTGGTAATTCTTAAGCAAAGCCTTTCGCACCATGGATAACCATTGAAACAAACTAAATTATTATTATTCCACTCCTGGATTTAGTGATCTTCCACACATATACAATGAATTTTATGGGTTCCCTTAATGAATTTTTACGTTTGTATTTTAATGTAGTTTCTTGTTGTATTATCAATAAATGTATTTTTAAGCTTCCTGAATTAAATTCCTCCATTCTTAATTAAAACCTTTTATTAGACCAGTGGTACCGGAACTTGGCTACCTGTGGCAAGCAACTAACGACCTTCCATCAGCCCCTGAGGCACGCACTCCCCCCAAAGCCCTTGTGAATTCGGTCCTTTCTTCCTATTCTTACACCTACACACACTTTCCTTTTGATCTTGTTACACTCTCCTAGATGTCTTCTCTTTTCGATATTGCATTGTTCCTGGACGTACTAACCAGATGGTGGCAGCGACAAATGACCTAATTAACAAGGGTAATTAAGAGTAATTAGTCGGAATCACAAACAGGCCATTTCTATTCTGTTGTCTATGTTATGCTTGTTGGATGAGGACTCCATCAAAAGGATCTGTATCAGAACTGGGTTGTAATATCTTTAACTGTTTTGTCGTTTCAGTATCCATCAACTTAGAAGATCATTACGGTTTATTCTGGCAGGGGTTAATTAACAGGCTTGTTCACAATTGGCTATAAATTTTTGCTGCCATAATAAGCCTTCCGTTTCTGTGGTAGGAATCTTGACATTGACCTTGCCCTTGACCTGCATAACACGCCAATACTTCTGCTTGATAGCATTGAGCCATTTCTTTAATTTCTCTGGATCCTCAGGTTCCTCTTCCTGCCAGTCATATTTACGACTTCTTTTCTTTGGACGAGGAATTGGCAAGAAACGTAACATTTCAGACCAGTTCTTACGTAAAAATTGCTTAAGACCTTCGCCAGGTTTCTTAAGCTTAACCCACAAAGGATTATCTTCCAAATTTGAGGTACCATCTATTTCGGGAACTGCAGAAGGGTGTACCAGGGCGTCTGTTTCACCACTTGTTAAGTGTTGGCTTGATTCGTTACATACTTCAGTATCATTAGTCTGCTGGGCAGAGGCTGGAGCAATAACCCAAAAAAGATTACCATCAGACTCATATATTACATACTCCACATTCGGGTCAAGTATAATTGATGGCTGTTCTACATCATTATCTTTAGTCTGCTGAGCAGAGATTTGAAAATCAGGCAATGCAGAAACGTCTGTAATATTGTCTACTAGGCCTTTGGGTTGAGTTGCTGGCTGCTGAATAAGGAATTCATCAAAGCTGCCATTAAATTTCGGATGCATGATTTCATTGTAAAGGTCCATATCATACTGATTTGATGGATTAGCTGTGAAATCAGTGGCACTCTCAACCAGCTCTGTTCTAGCGCCGTTACGGCCAAGATTACTTTGAAGAACAGCAAGAGGAGCCTGGTTATTTGTTAAATGTTGTTGGTCGGATCCATGTGCAGGTTCCTGTAGAGGCATGCATTGTAACGGGCGTTGAGGATGGGACTTTTGCTGAGGGCTTGCCGGTTCTAAAGTCGTAGGATCTAAGCACCTCATTTCTGGTTCTTGATCAGTCACCGGATTACAAAACTCCCCGTAACTTGCAGACTGCAGTTGGCCATGTCCATAAGATGCCTCAGGATTACTCTGGAAGTAGACCACCAAGTGAACTTATATCATGCGCTTGTGAAGGAAACATTTAAGACAAAGTTATGTATTTATGTTTACATGTAGTTCCATATACCTACGCAGTTACATATTTCTATAGATCTATATCTGACCACAAAGGCGACAATCGTAAAACGAGTCAGAACAACTTACGTCCATTTTTCCTTGCTGGTGTTTTTCTTTGTTGGGCATTTCACTCTGATGGGAGTTCGCCTGTAAATGAAAGAAACTGAACGATAACTCACGAATAGATATGAAGAGGCATAGCTGTAAAAAGAAAGAAAAAAAAATTAGGAGAAATATTTCACAAACCATGTTAATAAATTATATATATATATATATATATATATATATATATATATATATATATATATATATATATATATATATATACGCATAAACGCACACAGCCATATACATAAATTTATTTATATGTAAATATTTATATATGAATAAGATAATATGTATATAAATATTTATTTATATATACATATATATACATACATGTTTATACATATAGAAATATACATATACACATATGCTTCTTTACACACACACACACAAACACACACATATACATATATATATATATATATATAAAACAAACAAACAAACGCATATGCATATATGCATATGTATATGTATATATATACACAGACATTTATATGCATATATAGATATATATATATATATACATATATATATATATATATATATATATATATGAAAAATAACAATATATACATATGCATTTATACATATGTATATATACATGAGGTAAAAACATATTAGCTGATCTTTCAAATTTATCAAGAGACGGAGAAGTTACAGTCTCTGAAGGCATTTTTTTTTCCAGAGTCTATAAATAGCAGGAAAAAAGTATCTAGAAAACTGAGAACTAGAAAGACGGCTTACATCAAATATCACTGAATTGAAGGGTTATACAACTTCTAGTAAGTGCTGCAGGTTGATAAGATTTCATAGAAGGGATGTGAATTGAATTGAGGGTTATACAACTTCTAGTAAGTGCTGCAGGTTGATAAGATTTCATAGAAGGGATGTGAATTATCGGATACAATCTTGTGTAAGATACCCAGTGTCCAAATCTAAGTCAGGCAGGAAATTGAATGGAATTAAAAGAATGATCAAGCAGTCTTAAGCAGAGACCCTCACAGGAGAGCAGTACTCAAAACGAGGCAGAATGAAAGAAAAAGATCTATCTATATTATTTAAATATTATAAATATCCATTATGTATTCGTTAATGCATGTATATATATAAACACATACATACATTTGTGCATACACACACCGTATATGTATATTTATCTTATATAAGAGATGACACATGTAAAATCACAGGACAAGATCCTCTTTTCTTTTACACGAAAAATGCTTCGAAAATAAGTGATTGCAGCCTTTCACTTCTATCAATTCTATGATAGACCTGTGAATATACATGTTACAATGGTCAACTTAAGGTACAATCGACACATAAGTATTTCTATAATATATATATATGTGTGTGTGTGTAAAAATAAATTACATTTATATATATTACATATATACAAAATTGAAACTATCTTTGATATTATTTGAAGAATGTTATTTTAAAGCTTTAATCCGCAGTATAGTTCCTTTAGGCTATCATTACGTATCCGCAAGACAAGTGACTGCAATGAGGGTTGGAAGCAGTTTGTAATTAACCAAAATGGCCACCAGGCCACCGGGCTATGCCCATGAGGGGAGCCCTGCCTGTGTCGACTAACGTCGATTCGCTAACGGGTGTCAGCTTGTGCTGATTCAGATGAGCAGTGGTGTCCAGCTACAGCAGTAACCTCCAGGCCACAATTGCAACTTCTCGCGCCTGGGCGGGGCGCGAACAGCCGACCCCTATCATGAGAGGCCGAGACGTTACCACTATACTAGCATGGAAACATGGCCATCGGCTTTGAGCCTCAGATTTGTAGAATCTGCGAGCTGCAACACACGTTTATTTTACCTTTCTATTGGTGTTACTCATGAACATGTGTGTGATATAGAGGTTATCTAAATCAGTTTCGAGTCCTTACTACTACAGGAAAGTCAACCAATCTGTTGACTCGCCATGGTAAACTTCACATCAACAAAAAATCACGCATTCTTGCCTTTACTGACACCCTACTCCTTAGAAGAACTGTGGAAGTACACCGCGGTGTTCACAAGTAGTATAGAGTAGATTCTTGCAACAAATTACCTTAAAGAGGAGGAAAGGAAAGCCGATGCTTGGAGGAGGTATCGGTGCGTCTGCCACATTCAGCGCACACTTCTACTCCTGTGGTAAACGTGTTGCCGTTCTCGCGCCCTGATTGGCTAACTCAGTCGCCATTTCGTCACTATGCTTGGCTAGGAGCATCTTGACTTTTCTCAGCTAAAGCAGGTGGTAGTAAACCGATCTGACTTTAATATATTGTTTCGTAACATTGTTTTTCCTTCTGGTTATGATTATACAGTAGTTGTATATTCACCTACTAAAACGTAAAATAAACGGATCAGGCAACGATGTCTGAGGTGCCAATTAGTCATAAAGAAAAGCAATTTGTGTTTTTCTTGCTTAACTATTCCATTGCTTAATATGGCACGAATAAGAATTCAAATGTAGAATCAAGTCTGCTATAATATGTACCGAACGTAAAGCAAAGGAATTTCGAATGTTGCCACAGCCGAGGTTTTCAGTACTGCGTATAAAGAGAGTGACGTCAGAGACTTCAGTGTACGTGTACTGCCACAAACGTAAACGCGAAAAAGAAAGAAAAACAAAATACAGACAAATGCACACAAGCACACATATACGCACAACCAAATGTACACACAGATAAACACAAACACACACACACAAATGCACACATGAACACAAATAAACAAATAACACACGCACACACATTTCTCTGTACAAAAATATATGTAGATATATACATATATATACACACCACACACATACATATATGTATGTACATATATATACTATATAGGTATATATATTTATGTATATATATAAATAACTATTTGCTGATGTTCCCTATAAATATATGAATATATAAGTATATGTAACTTCGCTGATTATCTATATATACAGTATATATACACATATATATGCATATATAGTGGATATGTATATACATATACATATATATATATACCTATGTATATAGACTGTATATATAAACATACATACTGTATTTGTATATATAAACATACATACTGTATTTGTATATATAAACATACATACTGTATTTGTATATATATATATACATATATATGTATATATATAAAACTGTATTTCCTGATGGTCCATTTATATATATATATGCATATGTATATTTACAAACAAGCATATGCATACATATATATGCATATATAGTGGATATGTATATACACACATATATATACATATACTGTATATGTATATATATATATAAATACAACTGTATTTGCTGATTGTCCATATATATACAGTATATATATGCATATGTATATTTACATACATGTGTGCGTATATGTATATACCTTATATATGCACACTTATATGTATACGTGTATATATGTATATATGGATATGTATGTATATATATTTTATTTATCTATTAATATATATATGTATATATATATATATATATACAAATATATATGTATATATATATTGTGTATATATACATATATATATGCATATATATGCACATATATATGTATATATATGTGTATATATACATTTATATATATTTACACACACACAAATACATGTATATATATATATGTATATATATATATGTAAATATATGAGTATGTATATATATGTATATATGTATATCTATGTAAATATATAAGTATGTATATATATGTGTGTGTGTGGGGATAAATATGTTTATATATATCATATATATTATATATAAAGTATATATGTAATATATAAGAATTTATATATATATATATGA